TCAGTTGTCCTTTTGTAACAGATCTAGTTGAATGATCACTTCCAGAATTTGATTTGGGCAACAATGCACAGAGAGTTCCATAATTGGCACCTTGGAAGATCTGAAAATATAAATTAATACCACCAAGAAAAAAAAAAGAAAAGATATCCTGTATATATATATTTATTTCTGGCCCATGAGATGCAGCAACAAAGCTATTTAAAACACACTCAGAGCCAATAAAATGTGACAAGAAATTATGCAGTGCTGCAGCTGGGAAGTCTATCTGTGAAACTTTTAGCTCATTCACCAGCACGGACTTCCCTTTAAATAAGATTTATTAACCTTAATGTTTATTGACAGAACTGCTGCCTGTGAGTAGTAAGTCTTATTGGCTCCATTCTTTTTGAGAGTTAGGACTTTGGTRTTTGGATGGCACAGAAATGGGAGATCAACATTTGTTTAGAAAATAAAAAAGACCCAGAATGAAATGAATGTAATTATAAAGGATTTACACTAAAGAATACAAATTTTAGGACACAATGTTTAAAATTTGCTCAAATAAAAAACAATAAAATGCACTTTGTTAATGAACATGAACAACATAAAGTGCATAAAATACATTAACTTGCTCTTCACGRGCTCCTCTTTCTGCTCAGACCACAGATATTCTGAACACAGCCATGCTGACGGGTAAAATGGTTTCAGTTCCTGTGAAAACTCTTGCTGTTGAGGCCAGTGGCTCAGTCATGGATGTGACGAACTACACCAGCTGCAGGTCTACAGACGAGGATGTGCTCAAGGTAAGACATGAAAACAGCAGAATGGACCAGTGTGACAAAAAAACGTTTTTATTAAAAATAAAAACAGCAACTGGTTTATGTTTAGAGCAGTTTTAATTCAATTTATCTTATTTTGACAAAGTTTTTGTGTGAATTCTGTTTCTGCTTTTACACTGTTGTTTTTGTTATTTTTCCATTTTAATTTTTGTAATTTTACAATTTGTGCTTCTTTAGTTTTTTGAATCTTTTAGATTTTAGTTAACATTTTGCTACATTTAGCTTTCAGCTAACATTATGCTGCTGTTAACCTTTGTTAGTTGTTTGTTACTTTTAGCTTTTAGGTTATTGTTAAACATTTAGTTAGCATTTTGCTACTTTTAGCTTGCCTTTTGCTAGTTTTAGATTTTAGCTAATGGTTTTTTCTTCTTTTAGCTTAGCGCAGTCACTGCCCACCTGGCATTCATACTAAATTTTTTGCAGAAAATGACAAATTTGTTTCCAGTCTGGGTTTTTTAGAGTTGGCATGTTCTCCATGCACATGCTTGGGTTTTCTCCAGGTATTCTGATTTTCTACAGACCATAAACAAGTATGCCGAGCTTGTGATTTGCAGCATCAGTTCTTACAGTAAACACAGCCGTACGACCTTATTGCAGTGAATCTGTTCCTTGCTTTGTGAGCGTAAAGCAGTGGGTTGTTTAGAAGAGTAGGAATGAAGCTGAAAAGGAATAATTAAAGGATTACAAACGCAGTCTATCAACAGAGAGGCCTAATTCAGTTAATATTGTGCATCTGGATGCCCTCTCAGGCTTCCTGTGGTCAACGACCCCTTTTAGAGAAATGCACACAATAAGATGAAGTCAAAGCTCAAACCACAGAATCTATTGTTTATACTTAAGCCGCCACAAGTTGAATTTTTATGAGGGATTCATTCACAAGCAGTTTGCGTGCACATACTATAGGTTCGGGTAACATGAGACTTGTTATGCATGGATACAATAAAGTGTAGGACTGAAAATGTGCTGGAGCTCAGGGTAGCATTTTTTCCTCATATAAATAAAGGGAAGAAGGAAATGAAAAAATATAATGTATTTGAGGTTGAATGTCTAATTTTTGTTTGTCATTCAAACAAAAACAAATTTGCTCAGTTTAGGTGGTCTTTTTTGTGGAAAAATGCAAATATGAGCAGAAATGAAAGCTGAAGACTATTCTAGTTCACCTTTAATTAAATCAAGAAATTTGTTAATTGAAGACTTTAAATAACAAAAGACAAAATGATAGGAGTAATATTGCTGTATCAACGCGAGTTGCACAGTTTGGGATGGAATTTAGGCAAAAAGCTGGTAAATGTCGTCTGACTTCATAAACACGTTTTAGATGGCGCTGATTTTGTTTGGTACAATGAAAAACTGTCACATTAAAAGAAAAAAACATGCAAAATTTTGAGGAACACAAGGTCTTCAGATGTTAATTCAGCATCTAAATTCACCAAATATTTTTCCTACGTTGTCTTTGCGGAATGTACTGCCACAGAAAAATCWAATATTTTAGGTCTCACTTCACAGCTTACCAGACTTCAGCTCTCTGCAGCTGGACCTTTTTCAAATTTCTTTACCATGCTCCAACAGGTATGCATGTTTTATTTTTATTTTTTTTTGGCCAAAACCGAGGAAGCTTACACTGCACTGGTGATTTAAATTTTGTAGTTAATTCAACTCTGACTTTGAGTTTATAGCCAGTGTGACAGCTTGTTTTATCGGTCYCTTTTCTTCAGCAAATCAAAACACTGCAGAGTAGAAAATATAAATTTTTAGTTTATTTAAAATGAAGCATCAGTGTAACAGTTTTTTTTTTCACTCTGTGACGTTTCCATTCATCTGCAGTTTGCATGCGTTTCCAACAGGAAGTGGGGGCATCTGTATTGATCACGAATCAATCACTGAGAGCAGGGTTTGTGAATAAGCATGTGCTATTTTAAAACAAGTTCAAACAATGATGACCTTACATAAACCTGGGCAGAGATACATAATCATAAATGACAAAAATGCTGTGTAGATTTTATTTTAAATATAAACAAGACATTTGATATGGATAATACCATAGTACCAATAATTATTTTGAACTTTAAAAGCTGTTAAAATTGTTTTCTGTACAGGTTAGAGGCATTTTCATTGCATCCTATACAAACAGTTTGCTCTTCTTTTGTATTATTGTTTGATCTCCACTTTAAACAAACTGAAGKTGTTAGTTTTTAATTGACTGTCCTTGTTTTCAAGTTTTTATAATGTTATTAGTTTTATATAATGAGTTAGCAATGTGTGTGCATCTCYAGCTGGTCTTCTGCTAAAACGCAGCATCGAACATCCAATCCTCATTAGTCTGACCCATTAGAAAAGAGAGGGCAGCAARGTGAGCAGCTGTGATGTGAAAAGGAATTCATATTATTGCTAAYATATTAACAAATTTATTACTTCGAAGAAATGTTTTGTGGATAAAATAGCATTGGAGAGCAGCACTGGAAAGTTGCCCAAGGCATCAGAAAGTTTGGTTTGGCCRATGAGAGTCTGCAGATAGTGAGTGGCCACTACTTTCACAAGAATCCAYCTATTTTTAGAAGACACTCTTCCCTCCACTATTTCCTTATTTTTTCATTTTTGCCTCTCTCTTTCTACCACCTAAATTCCAATGCTGCACTCTATTCTCCAGTCTAGTGCTCTCCAATTACCCCAGTGGAGCCACTGGTTTGTTAAGATAAGTGAAGCAGCAGCACAGATAGGCCTCCAATCTGAAATAAAACACACCAACTGCAGAGTCTCACCTCATTGCTCTTCCTGGTGGGGAACGCGAGGCTCTTACCTCCTGTACAGCTCTGTAGGGACAGGCGTAAAGCGGGGCTAATTTACATTCTGTAACAGTTGTGATTTTTAGGTGACGTAAACACAAAACATGTTGAGATTCCCGAGCCACCCTTTGGAAATAGTGTGAAACGCACAAAAAGTGTGTTGTTTTTTGCCAATATTCCAGTCGATGCCTCTGTTTTCCATCTCAGCTTATCAGTCATCCAAACAAAAAAACAATCTCGTTCAGTTTGCGTGGTCCATCATGTGGAAAAACGCCAATATTTTTACATCTAGACAAACATCTAAAATCAGACCGGGCCTTTTTTTTCTTTTTTACTCAACTGAATCCTGTAAACTTTTATTATTGTTTTTGGTCGAAACTAAGGTATTGTGCCATTTTCTTTCATCTCTTTCATATTTCCAGGTGTCCGAGCGCTGCAACTACATTTACGTAAATGGGAAAGAGACAAAAGGGAAACTCAGTGTGATGGTCAATTTCACTTATGGTTTCCTGAGTGCACAACTGGAGATGAGTGTATGGATGCCTCGTCTCCCGTTGACTATGGACGTGGCAGACACCGAGCTGAGCCAGATTAAAGGTTGGAGGGTCCCTGTTACAACTGGCAACAGGAGGTAAGGCCTACAGCCGGGGTGTCAAACTCATTTTCACCAAGGGCCACGTGATTATGATGGCCCACAACGAGTSAGCTGCAATCAGTACTATTGTGATTCATTTCCCATCCAAGTCATCTCCACTTTGGCATGCTTCTCCTCCTGCATACTTTGTCCTAGAGCTGCCATTGTAATCTAAATCTGTAAAGTTCCTGTGCCAAATGATTGCTATGCCTTTTGGTGCCTGTGCAACCTATAGTTTTTGGAATATTAACGTTTAAAATCAAATAACGGGAGTCAATGGAACCTTGTATGCGTCCAATACTGCCCCATGCGGTGTCTACTCAGTACTGCACCATAGTTTGATAATATTCAAACTCAGTAGTTCAGTGTTTACAATACAAACATGATTGTATTTTAATATTTCACTATAATATTGTCCTAATATTCCTTTATTATTGTAATATATTGCAGTTTAGTGTCAACAATTGCATTGGCAATATGGCCTCTTTCAGCACACATACAAACCTAACACTTGGAGTACCTACTGCAACAGCTCCTATAGTCTCATGGTGAACACTATGGGCTTTCATGTGAGAGATCAGAGATCAATCCCAGCTATAAACAAAATATTTCATTTAAACTACATATTTTCTAATTGTCAAATTCTCACACAATTACCCCCATTACAAACAACTGCTGACTTGGCAGGCACAAGCTGGAACTTGATTAGCAAACACATTTCAACTTGGTCACAGTTCAAGCTGCAGGCAAAGGCATGCTACAAGGCAATGCACACTTGTTTTTACATCGTAAAAACCCATGCCTAGTTACCTTTTAAGTTTTGTGTTTAGCTTGGGCTTAACATGAAACGTCAAGTTCTTCGACTTTTCGCTTTTTTTTCTTCGACTTATTGCTATAGCTGAGCACTGCTAACAAACTAACTGAGCTCTACATGGTATTTCCTGCATAGAAACAAGGTCCTCTATAAAACACTGAAAAGTGCTACATGTACAACTGACTAAATGTGAAATAATTCTGTGTGCATAACATTTATTCATTTCATTTCTTTAAAAAACAACAAAATTTATGTACAAAAAACCACAAATCACTAATAAAATGAAAGGCGACAGAAAGAAAAAAATCTTATTTATATACAGTATCTGCACATTTTTTCTCAAAAAATTAAATGTAATCAATAATGATCTACAAACAAAAATTAAACAAAAACAAAAAACTAACTAAGTAATTAATGCAGAAATACTATTAAAGTAAAGGTAAGAGAGTTTTACTCATTGTTGAGTTGTAATAAGTAGCTACTGTCTTGAATTCTAAACTCTCCCACTTTACAACAGGGAATTCCCATTGAAGGGGCGCTCCAGTTTAAACTTATGACTTTTAAGTAGGAAATTCCCACTTCCCAGTGCAACTGGGCTGTAGCWAAATTAACCTCATTGGCGGGCCAGATGGAAGTCACCCACGGCCCACATTTTGCTCGTGAGCCTTGAGTTTAACACCTGTGGCCTACAGTAACCAGTTGCTCCTTTAGGTTTGAGTACCGACATTATATACAGCCCTTATAAATACAACATGAAAAAAAATGAGGTTAAAGTTTTGAACTGCAGATTGGTAAGAGTGAAAACAGAAAAAAAGAAAAAAAGTCCTGTCTTTTATATAATGAAAGATTATCCATCCCCAAGTTACATCTTGCATCTCTGTGAACATAAAGTCAAAACCCAGGTCTTTGAAATAATCTGCTCAAGGCAGATTAATCAAAGCTGTCTGGTCCAAGTAGGAGTAAACATGTTTCTGGAGGAGAGTCTCATGCAAGACGTTAGCAATACAGCTSGAATGTTAAAACCCGGTTTGAGGTTGCTTTGTTTTGAGATTGGGCATCATGTAATTCAACTTTCTGTCCTACATCATAATGCAGATTTCTCAAAAACATGAAATGATTTGCAGCTGAAGTTGAAACAAAAGTTAACTTTTATTAAGACAATACTTAGCACAACATGAATAAAAACGGTCACCTCATTGCAAAGATAAAAAAATAAATAAATCTAAACACGCAATGCAAATAAAAAAACATATTCAGCAGATGTGCCAAGTTTATGAGCTGTTTTTTTTCTCTTTTCAAAAGGGCAGGAGTGTTTACCGCAATCCATGTTTACTAGAATAAATAATTCTCACTTGAAAGCAAACATTTTCATTGTGCTTTCATTCGAAAATGCCACATTTATCTAAYCTCAGTATCAAAATAATGTGAATGTTTAAACCTTTTGAATTAAAATCAACAATTTTCTCTCTTTTTTGACACAACTGTTCATAAAAAAACAGGACATATCTGTTTGATGCATCAGTGGTGAGCCCAGATGCACCACAGTTGTCCTAGAAAATAAAGGTTAGTAGGGTTGCAATCAATACGTACAGTATAGCCATTCTTTCCTACCGCTCAATACTAATTGACAATGACCCACAAATTCAATACCCAGCTCCAGATAAAAACACATAGTAGGTCAGAAACCTCACACTGAWACAACCTTTCTTGGTAAGGAGTGTTAAAGTATGTGCATGTGCACAAATGTGTTACAGAAGCTGTTTTTGTTTTTTAGCCTGCATTAAATTGTGTGTACTATAAGCATATCTTTCTTGTTCACATTATTATAGACAGTGAGATAAATCGAATCAAATTAGCACGTTTTCTGAAAAGTTTATCTAACTGAATTTCTAAGTATGTTGAAATAAGTGTTAATTTAGCTAATTAGCACTTGTAGAAATCGTACRGTGTTCCCAGATGCTGATTGGAAACCTTGTAACCCTAAAAAGCTGAAAAAATACAGGTGGAGTAATAATTGCATTTAAAAAAAGATAGGAATCTGAGCTGTTGGAGGTTAAAAAAACCAAAGTATTAAAGTTCTGGTAATTAATGATGTGATTTTAAATGAGCTGTAAATTAAATACAAGTTTAATATAAAAACCAATGAACAAATAGAACTTAAATTAGCATTGTTTACTTTGTGCAGGTAGAAAGCTGCTGCGGTGTCGAATCGATAACCTTCAACAGCCGGACACGAAGATTTAACCAAGCATTTCTTTTATGTTTGTTGTTCAGTCGCTCTGATTTAAATTAAGCAGCAATCTCAACCCATGTTAAGCCTAAGGACCTGAGACTATAAAATAATGATGTTTATTCAAACTGTAAGTCTTGACGGGAGCTTTGTGCCTGCAAGTGTGAAAAAAAAACCATTTCCACCAATCCAGCAGCACACCTGAGGTGCACCGTGTGGCACAGCAGCTGTGTGTATGATAATTATATGATCATAGCTGAGAGGTTCACAGCTTAACCTCCATCACGCACAAACAAACCACTCAGCCGTGGGTTCTTGGCTAATTTAAGTTAAATTGATTTGGAGGAAAAGGTCACTCCGCATGTGCTTGTGCCTCATAGCAGCAGTAACAATTCTTCTGGGCTTTACTGTTTTTCTCTTAGAAGTTCACAAATTAGTTATATGTTTTTTTGGGTTGTTTTTATATTTTTAGAAAATGCTGGAAGCTAATCAGGCAATGTTGTAAATAGCAAAACAGCTGCAGTCATGAGCTGGAATATTCCCTAAATTTACTGCAGTCAGAGCCTTGAAATGTGTGTGAGTTCATCAGTCTTTCTAATGGAACTTCAACAATAAATAATGGACCAATTATGTTTTTTTTGTGTGTGTGTGTAAAAGATCTACATGGGACAGTGAGGAAGATGAGGAGATGAGGAAGGGCAGGGGTTGCATGCTGCAGTACCAGCTCTCTGCAGTGAGGGTGCTCACACCTTTTGTAGCCCAGCCTGATGCTGAAGTCCTGCCTGACCCTCTGACTGGAGAAGAGCCTGTGGAGTACTTCATAGGCCCTGACTGGCAGGTAAAAACAGTTAAATATTTAATGTTCCCTATTGTACTGATAGGTTAAATAAAATAAAATAAAATAAAATAAAATAAAATAAAATAAAATAAAATAAAACAAAATAAAATAAAATAAAATCGCCCATATAATATGTAAAATGTTTTGTAATTTTGAACTGATGGTAACAAAAAGGTTTAAAAATTGCTGTTTTAACACTTGGATCAAGGTCTTGCTCAGACTAGCCATTGACTCCTCATTCTGGTCCAAATTCAACTGGAATCATTCGTGAGTTTTCTTCAATACAGTATTTGTTCATGCAGTCTTTCCACATAACCTCACTTTTATTTTATAATTAAAACAACTAGTTTTAAACTATCAAAATGATGCTTATGCATTACTTCTGATTTATGCTTTTACAAAATCTTTAATTTAATTGATTGACCTTTTTTTGGTTGATTGACAGGTGGATGTGACCAATCTTGTGCACTATTCTTTACAAGCAAAGGACCCAAAAGTGGTCAAAGTGCAGGACGGGATGGTCCTACAAGGACGAGCTGTGGGGACTACGACTGTGCAGGTGGATTGTGCGTGCCCTGTATGTGAACGTGGGGAAATTTTTCCCAAAAAAGCAGCCTCGTGGGGTCCGAAGTGCATTGTGGGGACCAATGCCCAGTCCCTATGGGTCCAAATGCAAATTACGGGTGGGGGATTAGGTTTAGGACCAAGGTTTAGGTTAGTTTTAGGGTCAGGTAGATAGATACCTGTGAGGTTATTTTAGGGTAAATGGTCAGGGTTAGGCTATAAAGTCTAAAAAATGAATGGAAGTCAATGCACGGTCCCCACAGGGTTGAAGAACAAACGTGTGTGTGTCTGCGTGTGTGTGTATGTGTGTGTGGCTTTGGCAGTGTAAATACAACGTGTGTCCACATTTTGTTTGCAGGTGTTGTCCCCTCTGACATCATCGGTCCTGGCCGAGAGCAGCATCAGGGTGCAGGATGATAAAGTGAGTGTGACAGAACTGGGGGTGCAGTTGGTTTCTGGACTCTCCCTGTCTCTTCAGCTCAGCCCAGGGAGCAACAAAGCCATTGTTGCCACAACAACCACAAGGGAGATAATCACACAGCTGAAACAGGTAAGCAACAGAAGAAAAACTGAAAACATAAAAGAAAAAAWGTGGGGGGCACAGAAGAGGTTTTTGTCTTTATGTACCAGTGTCAGTTTATTTTTTATGTCTTTATGTTCATTTATAGCAAAAGATGTTTAATTTCACTTTAAATAAAAAACACAGATTTATTGTTTTATAATGACTTCATAAATGTTGCAGATCGACCAGTTTGATACGTTCTAGTGATTTCAAAACATGGGTTTTCTATGATATGTGCGCAAAGCCTTAAAAATAATCTTGTCATTGTGCTTTTATTTTTAACCCTTCAGGGAAAAATGACCCAAGATCTCATCATTTAAAACTGTGCAACAGGAGGCTTAAAATTTTATCCTGGAAGCATACAACTGCTTGTTTTGTTAGCCCCATTTAGCAGCTGCAATGGGAAGAAATTAGCATTTTTTTCACCACAAATACCTAAAAAGGAAGCATCAGGACAAGAAAAAAAAAGATCTGAAGTACAGACACATAATTTTCATTACTGCTTGATGGGCTCTGTGTTAAATTGTGGTTTTGGTTCTGTTTGTTTTTCTGAGATTATGCTGCTGTGGTGCAACATTGAGGGCTTTTCTAAGACTGCAAATGTTCCCGGTGGAGGAAAGAGTATTTTACCCTAGAGGCGCCGCTAATTAGTTAAATCGGTCATGAAACATTAAAATGAGTGCATAAAGTAACAGAAGAGATTATGTTCTTATCTTCACACACCTGAAATGTAATAGAAAAAAGTTGCTAAAGCTTTACTCCTATTTTATTTGAATAAAATCCAACCTTGTGCAGACACTTGGGAATGCATTACTCCTAATTTAAACTAGATGCGGTCCCGCTCCACACCGGTACGATCCGACTTCCGCAGCAAATACACAACCATTATAATCAACATGAGTATTTATGCTAGGCTTCTCTCCAGCGGCACAGGGCAGCGGTGAGCGGATGGCGATCCACCAAAGTTAGATTCTATCCTATATTTGCCGGACGCCGGAGCTGCGTCAGAGTCAATTTACAAAGATCACATTGCACCAACCGGAAAAGGAAAGCATTCTTATTTTCAAAATAATTCCCCAAAGGCAGACTAATTTTGTCGAAATCCCAGCTATATCATTAAATATGGATATATTTGTTTACAAATGCTGTCAAAATGTATTGTTTGGGAAGCAAACAGCAACATATGCAGCATACACACACATGATGCACATGGATTTRATTTTTGAKATCAGAAGTTTCAAAAAGACAACAGCGATGAASTRAGAGCTGTGTTTGGAGTCCACAGAATGAATTATTTTGCTCTGACTTCCATACTTATGACTGGATTTATCACGCGATCTCACATTTCGGAGTGGAGCAGAGGCTGTATAAATTGGGGTGCAAACAACCGATGGCAAACTGCYCAGCYGAACCGCATCTAGTGTAAATTAGGGATTAGTGTCAGAAATTAACTTGTAATAATGTCCATGTTGCAGTGATGTATTGCAATGCATAGGCTTAAAAAAGCAAATTAATTCCTTATATTTTGAATATATTTGATATATAACATGTTAGTCATCCTGATAGAATTAAAATACTTTTCACGAGTTATAAGTTTTTGACTTAAAGAACTAGAGTTGAATGTCATGACATTAATATTAGCATATGAAGAGTGCAAAGAGTTGAAGTTRTGAATGAAAAAGGGAAACATGAAGGCAGCCAAGGAAAATTTAATAGGCAGAAACCATAAATGAAATAAGTAATTGGATATTAAACTAAGTGATTTTTGTGTCTGTGAAAGTGATTGCAGGTTATGAAGTCATTTCTTTGTTGGGATTCTCTGACAATAACTCAGATATAGGGTTTGTTTGTGTACGTTCACACTCCAGTCAACAGACTGAGGGCAGCGTAGGGTTCAGTGTTCCTCAAGGACAGAAATGAAGCAGAGTAAATAAAAAGCAAACTCAAAATCAGTAAGCAGTATATGTTTTCAATGAGAGCTTAGTCATCTTGCATAAAGAGCAGAAGCAGTTTACGCGACACATCCATCTGCAGAAAACAGGAGTGTAGTGCTTTCTTTTTGCTTCACCGAGTGCAAATGTGTTCTCGGCCCGGGTCGTCGTTGCCGTTTGCAGTGCTGTGTGAAAGCCCAAGATGAGGCCGACAGAGTGCACCGATGAACATTTTAAAAGCTCACTCACACATTTAGCCGTGGCAGCTTGCCAGGTGTAAACCAGCGACCTGCGTAGACCAGCAGTTAGCCGCTGGAACGACCGCTCACTTTACATCCAGTTGACTCGCACTGCTGGGTCTGACCCTGGCAGTTACAAACATGCCTGAGCAGATGACCTGCCAGTTGTTTTTGTTCATGATATGCTCAGGACAAGTCATAGTGTATTTGAATCTAAAATAGATGTTAGGTTTATGGTGACCTAGTGGCTCACATTAGCCATTAGAATTAGGTCGCAGTGAATTAATGTGATTGGACTGGGTAATTCTGTTCCTGATGTGACTTTTGTTGCTCCACTTTTGTATGTAAAACCAGTCACTACGCTCTTTAAAAAGTGGTATTGTTTCTGTTAAGTCTAGAATTAAAATAATATGGATTGATGTGATTTCGAGGCAGAGGTTTTTGTTGAATTTRCCCCCAATTTGTTAAATACATGACTTTCAGAAACTGTATCTGCCGACAGTTTCTATGCCTGACAATTTGCCTTTTGTCTTCAACTTGTCCACTTTTCTGATTTTTACTCACACTGCACAATATGCTGTCAGGGTCAGGTACAAGGACTCCAGAGAAGAGAGTGGGAAAAGCAAAGAAAGTCCAAAGAAAAACTCTGAAAGACCTTCAGAATACCTGAACTCAAGAACTATTAATCAAAACCACTTRATAGCATAACAAGAAAGTTCGACTTCTCAGAGACTAAGTATAAAGAAATTAGGGGTGGTTTGAAATGTTTTAAAGAATTAAAGTAGAGGAGAGACATAAGTATTGATTTGTTCCATCTTGTCTGACTTCCGTGCCAGCTGATGAACTTTGTAATATCCAGTTCTTTTCATTTCTCTTTTCGTACAGGAAGCCTTGGTCAACTGCTGGGTACAGTTCAGCGACGGGGCGGTTGCTCCTCTGGAGATGTTTGACCGCGGCGTCTACTCCCTCACAGTCTCCACCCACGACCAACGGGTGGCCACGGTGCGCCGCACACCGCAGTCCACGTTCGCAGTTGCGCAAGGTGAAGGCGAGGGCCGGGCGAGGCAAGTGAGGGTAGAGCTGAGGATCTGCGAGGAATGCCAGAAGTCTAAGAGGAAGAGTAAATTGGCGGTGGGAGCAGCGATTCTCAAGACCAACTTCCAGAGTAGCAGAAGTGTCACAGGAGGAGGAGGCGCTAARAGAAATAAAAATGTAGGGGGAAGTACACTAAAAGTTATTAATGAAATTAAAGCAACAGCAGCTTCACAGAATGTTGTCGGTACGCTGGACAGAAGACTGGTCCGAGGCACAACACCTAACCAGCAATCCACTGTGGRTGAACGTTCCACCGCTACAACAACCTCTAACAAATATGTACAAACATATGTTGTGGGGACTGGAACGACCAAATCGACAGGAGGAACTGTTTCTAGTGTCTTCAGTGTGGCCACCCCTTCAGCTATGAGCAAACCAGGCTTGAATACACAACCAAACACGATCAAACCTACAGAGGGTGTCTTCAGTAAAGGAGAAGTGTTGAAGAAACCTTATGGAAATATGCTTGATAATTCAAATTCATCTTCTAATATAAACATTCCTGAAGCAGAAACACCCAAGAAGGAGGTTCCTAAATCTAAAATGCCAAACCTCATTGAGAGCGACCTCATCAGGACATTCAGAGCCATGTCAGACTTGGAAATCGGCATGTATGCTTTAGTGGGTGTCTCCTGTGTAGCTATTTTGGCCTTTTTAATCAATTGTGCATCGTATAAACTGTGTTTCCGGAAACAGAAGACCCCCATACAGGCAGGCCCAGCACCGAACATGGACCTAAAGGATCACAAACATGATTGGGTGTGGCTGGGGAGTGGCAGTCACAGTGCTCCTGCACCGGCGGCTCCGGTGGCCCCGCCTCAAGCGTCCACGCTAAAATGCGAGCCTCACCGCCCTCTGGAGTCCCATCATTCCATCGATTCCATGGGCCACTGCAGTGGCTCTTTGCCCACTGTGAGTGCCCCTCCAGTCCCTGAGAGGACCGCCACCTTGGGGCGCASCAGAACCAGCTCCCAGCAACTTCAGTTCCAAGGAAAGGCCGTTGACCTGTTAGCAAACCGTTCAGCCACCTTGCTGGRAAGGCCTCAGCGCAGCGAGCCTCTGCATTCTCCCACCAGCAAGAGAAATCAAGTCCAGTTCACCACCTTCACCACGCTGGACATCAAGCACTTGTCTGCACTGAAGAAAAACGGCGTGGACTTAACCTGGGCCAATCAGCAAARGCAACAACAACAAGCCCCTGCTGAGCCACAAATACCTTTACCTGACATGCCATGGCCTGTGGTCAAACCTGTGGGGGAGCCCCAGTGAAGTTTGATGCTTGCATAAGTGATGAGAAAGCAGTCTACACAGGATGCACATTCTGGAATGTTAAAGAGAAAAAGAAACAAATGTGGCTTTAATGTTTGATACAAGATAAATCACTTGTTTATTGAGATTACAAACAGACTGTTCTATAAAAGAAGGCTGTGCCGAGTGCAAATCTGTAGGCACAGTTTGTAAAGGTGTACGCACAAAAAAAGTCAAAATGTAGCTTTTTTGTGGCAATTCTTGTATTTATATAATCAAAAATCTACCAGATCTGCTGTGTAAATATAAAAATATCTTATACTACTTTATTTATTARACATTTCTATGTATGCAAAGACACAATTCACTTTATCTTCATTTCTTTTTACTTTTGTACAAGTCTCTAGCTCCTGTAGTAATGGCTCCAGATTTTTTTTAGATGTCAGATCATTAAAGTACAAGAAGGATTTTAGTACTTTTAGTTTTTTCTTRTTCTTCAAAGAATGCCCAGGGGTTTTGTAATTTCTTGTAAAACAATACAACATTTATCATGTTATTCTGAGCAAACTCTTGACACAGTTTTCACCAGGTAAGTATTTGGTTTATGTTATGTTAATATGGCCTGTGCAGAYTTTGAAGTGGACAGTCTGGGCTGCAGCATCTCCTGGGGGAAGGGGGGTGGGGGGTGGCAGCTTGTTTAAATGACAAAATGAACAGTTTTCAACACGTTGCGTTACATTTTTACATGCCTTTGGAGGCAACACTCTCCCYTTTTTAAACTAAAACCTGATGTGTACATCCTGTTTTTATCAATAAAGAAAATATAAGTTCTAAKCACTGAAGTTAAGTTTTATTCAGTTATTCATATCATAACTCTAATGCTTCCAGAAAACACGCACACGAGTAACGTTTTTTGGATTACAGGACAAAAGCTTTGCAATGAATCAGCAGGATTTGATTATGTTGAATATGATTGTGTGCAAAATTCTTTTTTGWGAGCACTGTATTTGATGTGTCTGCCAATATCCTGTGCTGTTGCACAGAAAAAAATGCACTGACTGTAAAAAAACAATAACAATAATCAAAACTGTGCCGTTCATTTGGTAAATCTTAATTCAGTCAGTAAAGAATTCAAAGCATCTTATCAAAAACRGAGTCTTAGATATGATAACTTTGCTCATTTTTTCTTTTATCCTAAACGTTTTTCAGTCTCTCTGGGGRGAACACGGCTTCAAAATTTGTTCTATGAACTGCGATGAATAAACACGGTCTGCAGCTTAAAGAAGCCCAGATAATCTGATGCCGAGCACAACAGGAGTTTGCTGCTGCGGACCTGGAGGTACATGCTGTCACTTTCTGCAAACAGCTTCCTGGTGATTCAGGGTGTTGATGAAAGTGATTTTAATAACTTCTTTTTTTTTTCACACTCTTTCCACAAACTCTTTATAAACTTCCTATTTTTCATTCAGTTTATCTTTCAGGCAACGGTAGGAAAGGTAAACAAACTCGTCATGGTTATAGGGCAGGGACTCGCAACGGTCTTCGAAGGGCACATTTTTTTTTGTTGRGGAGCTGTTGCACAAGAAGAGATTCCACAAATTAAATTCAGATATGGGCTGATTTATTAAATCCTGCACAATTGTAAAACAGRAAGGTGATTTCAAATCATGCCTCAATGCGTTTTGCCACTGAAACACTGCAGCAATTTGTTGCCTTTTTGTTAGAGGATTCATCTTTTGGCGCCCACCACAATAACATTCTGCCTCATTCTGTGTCACTTTGATAGGATTTTGAGTCACAAGAACAGATCGCCTTGAGTGTTGAATTATAAAGTAAAATCACAGGTAAACAATCCGGCTACGTTTGACAGTAATACACTGAAGTCCGCTGACAGCTGCTTGGAATACTTTGCATATAATAAAGAATTTAAACTGTAAATAATTAAGTTTTCCAACAAGACAGGAGCAGGGTCTCTTGGTATCATTGCAGCTGGATCTTTAATCTGGAGCATCAGCTTCCCTGTTGACAGATTTAAAGGATTGAGGTCATTGTGTTGGAGGATTAGTGTGCATTAGTGGAGAGTCTCAGCAGCACAGTCCTTATAATGTGGGCCAAAAGAGGCAAGGTCACTTATTCTGAAGTCAGTTTTTACTGGATAGACACGTGGCCGGGGGACAGTGTAGGTGCAAATGGAAGGAATTACTCATGAGAACACAGCAACTGAACATAAGGTGATAAACCAGTCCTAACACCCCCCCACCCCCGCCCCCCCACACACACGTTTACACAGCTATCTAATTGGGGACATTCCATTGACTTCCATTACATTTCTACAGCCTAACCCTGACCACAAACCCTAAGGCTAACCTCACGGGTACCTACCTGACCCTAAAACTAACCTAAACTCTATTCACACCTTGGTTCTAAACCCAACCCCCAACCCACCAATGGCATTTAAAACAAATGGCGACTCAACGTTTGTCCCCAAATGCACCAGTTATCCCCAAAGGCAGGCGTTTTGTCTTAAAATTGCCCCAAATATCACCAGAAACACCCCCCCCCCCCACACACACACATATGCTTGTTCTTGTTTCTTCACGGGGACTTTGTGTTGACTTACTGGCCATTTCTACAGCCTAACTCTAACTTACCACAAACCTAACCTCACAGGATATACCTGACCCAAAACCTGACTTAAATTCAACCTTAGTCCTAAATCAAACCCCGGACCCACCAATGGTATTTACCCCAATTGGGACCGGGCTTTTGTTTCTATAAGGAACAACGGGTCCTCACCAGGAAGTGTAATGCTCAAAAACTGTACCCAACAGGTAGCAAAAACATGTACTGTACATACATATGCACACAATCACGTTAAATAATAAAACTGTAGTTTGTGTTTGTCTCCAGTAGTCCTATTTCTAGCAGTATTTAAGTGAATGTACCACAGCACTGAATAGAAGCATTTTGAAACATTGTTAGCATTTCAGTTGACTTCCCTGGGTGCTGTTTCAGGATAATACAGAAAAACACAACCCCAGAAACTTTTGTGATTTCTGGTTTAAATAATACATTCAAATCTCCTCATATTTGGTAACAAGTGGTGGCTACTATTTTAATGATTTCAATAAAAAATAAAGAATAGGCTTAGATTTTTAAGTGGTTCAGGAAAGTTGTTGCAGTCTATACTTACCTGCTGTTAGTTTGGAGAACTGCAGAAGAGTTTTTCATTTTTAATGCAAGAGTCAAGCTAACAGCCACAGTCAGGCTGGGACCAATTCCAGAGTGAACTTTTGGCAATTTGAAACAAGTCATAGCTTGAGAGTTGTTTTACTGGTTAGTGCAAACACTGTTTTATTGATTTTCACACTGCATTATGTTAGCATTAAATAGCTGCTCCTGTTGGTTACATTTACATTTTGTTTTATAACACATTTTCAGAGATTTCATTTTAATGGAAAGCATAGGCTTTAATGTAAATACCCCAAAACTTCTCTGCGAATATTGGATGGAAAAGTGACAAAGTGCAAACCATATAATAAGTACTATTTGCATAAATCTACCTCTATGAATGTGTTAAGGTTTGAGTAGTTTTAGACGGGAATAAATCAGATTTAGAACTGGACCCATCTAATTAAGCAAAAGGGAAAAAAATGACAGAAACACAGACTTAACACATTGAGCATCTGTAAATGTAAACTTCATTTTAACAAAAATACAAAAAACAGATGTGGCAGCAACCTGCAGAACAGAGAGAGAGAGAGAGAGAGAGAGAGAGAGAGAGAGAGAGAGAGAGAGAGAGAG